AAGGTCAAGGAATCCAAATGACCAATTATTCTGACAAGGCCTTAAGCACCTCGAGAAGGTCCACGTCACACGACGTGTTGATCGCGTCCCTCAAATCCGAGTACTTCCACTTGGTCAGATCGTATTTGGTCGGATCTGTTTTCACCGGAGACGCAGCTCCCGAGCCCCACTGATTAGCAGCAACTTCTTCATCCTAACGAAGAGGAGGGAAAAAGGAAACCAATCAAGTCAGAAAAAGTTCACACGCGTTTGAAAATTCGAGACCGCTTCCGAACTAATTTAATTTTCGTTCCTCAATCGTTAAACTTTTTCTTGGGAAAAATTGATGCCACAGCTGGAGATAAAATTCTACCAAAAGGAAGGTGAACCAGTTATCACACACAGCACAATATTTACAAAGAGACAGCAAACTTTTCCATACCCCTCTAAACAAGTCGGAATACCGAGTTCAAAGGAAGCCCTCAATCGCTTAATTTCCCACGAAATAGATGGGAACAAATGTCTGGATTCCGGCACGAAAAAAAAAAAAAAGAAATGTCGACGAAGAGACAAGGGATGATCACCTGGACGCCCATTTCCCTTGCCAATCTCAAGGCAAGTTCCCGGTCTCGGCGCTCTTGTTCCAACTGCTGTCTGGCCAATGAATCTTCTTCTATAGCCTTTGCCATGGCCTCTTCGACGCTCATGGAGGCAAACTGAGTCGTATTCAACCGATGTCGGGCGGCGATTGTTTCTCTCTCAGCCTCAGCTTTGACTGCCTGAGCTTCCAATTGCCTCACTTCTTCTTCCTCTAGCCGCCTTTGCACTTCTATTTGAGATTTTCTAGAAATAAAAATATGCAATCAGAAGGGTTGAATATATGATCATTAAAATATTTGCTCCACAGTCTTGGAAAGCAGATTTCTTCCAAATCACAATAACACACTGGAAAAAGGGTTCAGGAAGATGTGATCAATTTTTATCCTTGCTAAAAGAGAAATTATCAAGTGGGTAAGGAAATGAACCTCGAATAGTTCACTCAACTTTGCTTTTACGGATATCTAGGGTAATTCCACAACTTCTTGGACTTACAAAAATGAGAACAGGCATTGAAACCAAAATGGCTCATCCGTAAACCATTGACCGTTTTCTCAGCAAAGGCCCACATATTGGACATTTATTTCCCACTATGGTATTTTGAAGGAATTTTTTTTAAATTTACACATGAATATATTCGTGTTGCTTTTCCGATCATACTCTTTCATTGACTCTTTAACAGACGGCTTTTTCGTTCAAACCTTGGAATTACTGCGCCCATGTTAGTTAAAACGTTCTAAAATTTCCATCAATTATTTTTTTTTTTAGAACGAGAAAAGATTTGTACGAATACCTCTCATTAGTGAAGGAAAATTCTGACTTTTACTTCTTGACTATTTCTGTGCAGTCAGCTAGAAATTTTGCGTACGTTTTAATCTGCCCTGGGATACAGCTAAAATAAAATAGAAATTACCATCGTATTCGTAATTGGTCAATTCAAGAAAAGTTGCTGACAAAAGGTCAGACCCTATCAATTTTATCAATTGCAATGGACTGCGAATTTTCCAAAAGCGTCGAAAACTCAGGTCAGCGGACTCACTTCCGCTTCATCGTGGCTTCTTCCGCCACTCGGAGTTTTTCTTCTTCCTCCCGCTTCCTATCAGCCTCCATCTGTTCTTGTATCCGACGCAGCTTCTCCTGTTCTTCGGCAGTTTTTTGCTGCTCCAATTTCTTGTCCAGCAATATCAGCTCCTTGTTGACTCGTGTGACAATCTCCACGTAATCAGCTTCTATCGTCGACCTCAAGATCTTATCGTCCGTCTATGTTCCAGACAGAGAAGAAATAAACGGGAGGAATATAAATTGCTTACATTTGATGTAAAACCTTTGCGTGCCAACAAACAATTTCTCCGGGGTTTGACAGGAAGGATAGTGCTGAAGTTCTTTCAGATAGGCTGCCATAAAAAAGAGGATTAAAAATAATACTAATGGAATACCTGTATTTTTCACCTTCCAGTACAACTTTGTTCAAAAAAGTTGAGAAAGAAAATTGTAAAGAACACTTTTCAGGTTGGTACAGAAACCTTTCGGGAAGGGGATAGATGGGAAAATAACGTTCCTGGTAACATATGACGTTCAATCTTTATATCTCTCTGATCAATTTTGATAGAATTGTTAATAATAAATTCATCCCACGGAAATTACTTTCAAGCTCTTTTTCCCCCAGCACATACTTCAAAAGCTGACAGCCAAGCGCGGAAGCCATTTTACTGCGAACAATTTCATTTGAGCTCGATTCTTTCTTGGAAAAAAGCTCAGGGAATAAAGAATTATAATAAAATGTAGGAAGCTCCTTCAGTGCCTGAGAAACATCATTTGATCGATTTATTCACTCATTATTTTTAAATGGCAACTAACAGCAGAAACTTCAGTTCTCCCCCTTGGGCATCCGCTGAAAACAAACCTTGATTTTCGTGATAGCAGCCATGAGATTCCTGTCGAGATTGGCAACAATGCTCAGAGAGTTCTCTCTGTTTGCTTTCAGCTCACTCGCAATTCTCTGCATGTGGTCCAGGTTGATCTGCGATTGCAAGCAAACAAAAAAACATTTGTCAGGGACAAATGGTACCTCGGTTTGAGCACTCCATAGGGTAATCCAAGATGAATGATGTTTTCATTTCTTTTGAAAGCATGCACTAAAAATAAATAATACAAAAATCTATCCCCGTGCGTCATTTGACGCGTAAAGTCAAAGAAATGAATAAAATATTTTCCAATACTTGCCTGCAGCTTTTTTAGTCTTGAGATCCCCGTATATCTTGGCTGATGTTGTTTTCGAGCCTGATGCATTCGGACCATTTTCTGCATCACGATTAGATTCTCTCTCCTGTATTCAATCTTCTTCGTTACTGAAAATTGAACAAATATTCCGTATGATTAAACACAACTTTAATTGTTACTACGCTAAGAGCGACTGCATTTGATCGAAAATATGAGAAGGTATTTTCAGGCAATATTTGTACTGTTCAAACCGGAAACGATTTTATGCTTTCATCTTTAATTTAATTTTGAATGGAACATCACACCAATATGGCAAAAAAATATCGTAGTACTTAAAACAAATATCTTCATCCACACGCAGCAAGACTTTTTATTTTTACCACAGTACAGTGTCTTTGTCCACGTCGAAAATGTTCAAAATTTACTTTGGTCGATTTCTAAAACTGAAATTTAAAAAAATTATTGGAAGCTGAAAAGCAATTTTACTGCTCTTTACCAACACAGCACAGAAACAATTTCCCTTTTCCAGTTTTAGAGCAGGGTTCACGTCCCTCCGCGTTAGCTAATTTTTTTGTGTGACAATAAGCGATCATATTCAATAAAAAGCTGATGAACGAAAAATATTAAAAAGATATTAAGTTGACATTCCAAATTTTCAAACATTGCAATCACTTCAACAACCCACAAAAGATTGCATTCCATTTCAACATAACGGATACGGAATAAACTCACGTTTAATAACCATAATAGCACCCCATTGAACCTTCTTCCACCTTGATCTCAGCAGCCACTGCTTCACGCGATCCACCAAGGCAGCCAGATTTTCAGGATCAGATTTCAGCATCTGATCAAACTCTGCAAACTTTCCGGCTCGAAAGAACACTTTGGAAACACCAAACTTGAAATCTGTATCGTTTAATCCAAGGGCCTTAAACAAGGCTTTGCAGAACAAACGCGCATCCAAACGTGCCAACTTCCCAGGCAAATACTGTTTGTACATTTCATGCAGACTTTGGAATCCAGTTCTAAAGAAGAAATTACATTTGAAGACTTTAGCAACGCGAAATGGAATTTTAAAACTGACCTTGAGGGGTAACCCTGTTGCATGAGTTTCAAAACACTCCCCATTCCAGCGCACTGTAGCTGAGACAATATTCCACCTCCATCAAAGTCTTTGGGTGCCATTTTACCGTTTGGTTTGATGCATCTTATAAAGCTGGTTCCCTTTTGTCATAAAAAAAGGTATAAATAAACCCTTGACGGAAAAGAATGCACTTTTCTTACTGTTGACTGAAGCTTCTCCATCAGCTCATTCAACTGCCCACGAAACTTGGACGCAACAGAAACGTAGTTTAATTTTCCAGATCGCTTTGGTTGATCAACAGTTTCAAACAAGGATTTCAAGAAATGATTTTTTGCTTCACAAACCAGAGCCTCCAAGGAACTATGCAATGCGTCATTGTTCTTCTCAATGAATTGAGCCTGTCAGCCAACAAAATATTCATTAGTTCTTACTCAAAACATCATTAAATCATGAAACGCACAGTTTCGTAGCAAACTGCTCCAGCGAAATGCCTAATGATGAAACCCTCGTCATCCCGCAGTTCGCGATGTTGTCGTAATTTTGAGCATCTTGGCAATTCGAGTCTGAAATGGCCATGAAGGTTCTTGTGAACTGCGGCTGTGAAGTGGCAAGCGTCGGGTTTTGGTAGTTTCCCTTCTTCGTTCAGAAGATCTATCACCCCCATCTTGTCTTCTACCAACTCTGAAAAAAAAACATTGATCGCACATTCTTAAACGACATTCTTCTCAAAACCTAGTTCAATACATTACTCCCAGAACATTGGGCAGGTGCTGGCCCTCATCTTTAAATCCAACCGACTTATATTCAACTTGATACAAGTTTAAATTAACTGAAATGCAGATGACACCCATAAATTGAAATTAAAATTTCAGATTTGGGTCACAATGAATTATCACAGAAAATAACCCGTGTAACAAATTCTCAAATGGAATTTACGGCATGATGACATGAATACTCACGAATGCAATCACTATTGTCTGCATAAGTGATTCGAGGTACTTGCAAGCCTTCCTGAGCGTAGAGGATCTGTTCGTGATGCAGAACCCGCTCGTTGAAGAACGTCTGCAGCTTCTCATTGCAATAGTTTATGCAGAACTGCTCAAATCCATTTTTTGGGAAATATTCTGAAAAACGAACGACCAGTTTGAGAGGAAAGTCACAAAACTTACGCATTACGCAAAGAAAATATGGACGCACACGAAAATACGGAATCACAGAATTCGGGGAAATGCTGGAGCACGCTCTTCAATAAAATGTTTGACTTCGGCGTTTCATACAAATTCACATTTCGACAAGCTTTCCAGAACGGTGACAATTATTTGAAGTAAATTGTGGATACCAATAATGGAGTATACTTTTAGGCATTTTAGACAGATTCACAACTCAAAAAGCTTTTCAAAAATGCAAAAGAAAAAAAATAAAAACTGAGTATTGAATTTATGGTGCGAATTTGAGAAAATAGTTGACACATTTTTCCTCCCAATTCTCGTTCCAACATACCTGTTAGTCATAATATCCCTCTCGAAGTTAAATTCGCCAAAAATTATGAAACTGAACGATTATTCAATTTGAATTTGTTACAACAACTCTGACATTAAATTTAATCATATAAAGACTCTAAAATTACGGTGCGCACCAGATATCACGTTTAATATTAGCTCGAAGGATCGATACATACCAAAGCCAGCTATATCCAATACGCCAATGTAAAACGCAGATGTTTGGAAAGGGATTGACGCGTTGATTCTTGATACAATATTGTCAAACAGCCTAGAGTACATGGACTTTGCTAGGGCGTCTCTCGCACTGGCTGCTTCTCGAGGTTTCAGTGGTACATTTATCACATCCCCACAAGCGGTTTGCATCGTTCTGAAAGCCAAACCTTTGAGAAACAAAAATTCATTGAGCTGGATTAAAAACACAAATTCCCCAACTCGAAGCAAAAATTAATATTACCTAATTTCAATTCCCCAACATCAAGCTTCATTAAACGAGATGCTTCTTCAAGAGATTTCAACGACGCCGGAGTTAATCTGGAGCCTCCGTGGGAATCGTCCACGTCATTTTCAAATTCTATGTTCCCCAGGTGAAGGACGGCAGCAACTATTGTGTAAATCTCCTGGCGATCTCCAGCAGAGATGCCCAACGTATCCAGAGCCTTGTTTAAGGAAAAAAAAATCCGCATCGAATATTAAGGTGAAGTACTGTATTCCAAAAGTTGATTACTTTCATTCACAGGAAAAAAAAGAAGTCACAAGAAATTCTGGCGATAATAACGTTGCCATAATGATTATTGTGCATCCCAAGGATATGAAAGGTTGGTTGAACAGATTTCCCACTTTTGCATTACAAGTTCTCAAAACAGTTCCATGATAAGAATATAATACTTTCGACCTCAGTATTATTCAACTCTTCAACATTTGTTCCATTTGAAATTGAAATTAAGAGACAGATTCAAAGTGCACTTCATCTCAGCGAGGAACTATAGTGTTAACCGGAACAGTCACAAGTTTCAAAAATTTCAGATTACCGATTATTTTCAAAACAAAGAAAATAGCTTCTGACATAATGCTTCACGGCCAACAACGATGTGTAGAAGGATTTTGATCGTGACTATTTCTTGTGCTAGTGATATTGACAATGCAAGTTGCGCTTAATTCTTAAATTTAGAGTACACAATTTTTGAATCCTTTCTGCAACTGAACAGTAGTTCAACACATCAGTAATTTTTCCAAGTTTCATCTTAATGTCGACATTAATCTCCGTACCGTACAGTGGTTTGGAAAATTCTGATTTGAAAGCAGAAATATGCGCATGAAAACGTTGACTGCTGATGTGCGATCAAGGTATAAATATTTAGGGGTTTTATCAAACTTTTGAACCAACCCCTGTAAAAACCAACACACAGTCCCAAAGTCGACATAGAAGAAGCACTGTAGAACTTCTTTTAACCCAAGAACTATGAAACTATGACAGCAATTACCTCCACGGCGCTAAAAAAATTCTCGAAGACTCGAACTAAAAAAAGGGGAAAAGAGTGACTGCCCTAAAAGGGGAAAAAAAAACGTAACTCAATGCTCGTTTGATCACAGTAAAACGCATCACGCTAATTAGTATCAAGGATGAGAACAAAGCTCGCACAATGGTGAACAATAAGCAATTAACTGTATTTGACATCATGATGAGGTTGAGCAATCATCCTTCTATAGCGTGGCTATAAAACTAAAGGCAAGCACTCGCGGTCATTTTAGAGAGACGCCGAAAACCCGAGTATCCAGATCTTGCAATGGGAAGTAATAAGAATTTTTTCTTCGAGCAGCTGACAAAATCTGGTCTTTTTAAACATCATATCACAGATTAGCTGTCCGAATTTCTACATCCTTTCATGTAGCTTCGTCAAAATTATGCAAAATTTTATGCTAAAAAAAATTAATAAAATGTTCAACCCTTTTCCAATTCTTGAAAATGCAATAGGCAGCTTCGCCAGAATTATCGGCAATTTTTCAAATTTAAAAGGGATGAAAAAAAACCACTCACCTTGTCGATTTTCACGAAGTCACTAGCGTCATTGCGTAAATTCCTAGTGTGTTGAGTTTTAGATCCACGATTCACTAGATACTGAACAAGAGGCATTTTTAAAATCCTGGTTAAACTTGATGAAAAAATAACGCTCACGTGAAATTTTTCAGGGTTTCCTAACCCCATCTTCATCTTGAGTTCTGCAGGGGCCCCAGAACACAGCTGGTAGAAAATGTGATAATTACGTTCGTCCACATTCTGGCTGCAAATTCGACTCTTTTCGAGCAAGTAATGAGATATATAACCGCCCACAACGCCATAAGACTTGGAAAAATGAATTTCGACAAATTTCCCAAATCGCGATGAGTTGGAGTTCCTTGTGGTCTTTGCATTTCCGAAAGCTTCGAGCACGGGATTGGCTGAAAAAGGATTGAAGATATTTCGTTCACAAAACTTCGAGAAATTCGATATTGAAAAATTACCATCCAAAATCCGCTGTTCAATTGGACCAGCAGCGTATCCACCGGTTTCGCATAAATATCGAAGAATATATTTGGTTGATTCTGTTTTTCCAGCCCCAGATTCACCAGAAACTATCATAGACTGCGATTGAGACAAGACTTTCATATCTCTGAACGCTTTGTCGGCTGCAAAAGAAGGCATACGCATTATGAAAAAGTTTGAACAACACGAACAATTTGAAGAGTTACCGATGGCGAAGACATGAGGTGGAAGTAAGCCCAGAGACTTCCCTCTGTAGCGTGATATTGATTGCGTGGAATACAGATCTTGAATGTCATTGTAAGGATTAACTGCCACAAGAATGTTTCCAACGTATGTCTAATGAAAATAATTCGTAAACGACACAATCAGAAAGTACATTATCCAGAAGTCGAGATAACACACACTTACATATATTTTATCCTTGAGATAGCGGAGACGAACGTTGTTCAGCAGTGTGGCTTCATTGAGATACATCAAAGCACCTGAGAAAGAAGGAAAACGTGCTTTTTAAACAGTCATTGATAAGGGACACGACATATTTAA